CCTGCCCAAGTGGTCTGGTATATCACCTGTCCCTCTCTACTGACAGTTCCTCACAAATTATCCCATGGATTTCCGGGACCGAGAAGTCTATGTTGACTGGATGACCTGAACTGGAAACAAGAAGCCATCAGGAGCATGGCTCAACATTAACTTGCTAATAATTTGGGTTGGAATTAAACTTGCTTGCGGGAATGTGCGCTTTGTAACTTCCTTGTTCAGGTGCCAATCAGGAAGGGTTTGGATCAAAATTTCAGCCCAATAATCAAGTGGGGAATTTGGTCAAAAACCTGTTTTTTTAAAAAGTAGCCTACATCAGCATAACTGGAGGAAGAAGCTGGCAGAGCAGGCAAACTACGCACAACATGGTCCTTTGCATGTGACTGAAGTGCTTGTCCACGTGCACAGAACACAGAACTGAATGGCACAAATGCACAAGGTAAATGCAGGTCATTTCAGAAACTCCTACCTGAACCAAGACACAAATGCAGACTCTCAGTACAACAGTTCAGCACCAGCCCCGTTCAGCCAAGGTAAGTGCTAGCTAGCATGCTCGATGTGGTTTCAGTAAGTGACACTATTGCATTGGTATGTTATTCCCCTCTAGTATCTACTTCAGTGCTTTCCACTCAACCTAGGTCTGCTGTACAATTACAGGATTAAAAGGACTGAAAGAGTAGCCCTTGCCTCTTAAAGCCACAGGCCTTTTGTGTTTTGTTTATTCAAGACCAGTTCAAGACAAATAGCCTGAATTAGCCAGGACCTCATTTGAATAATGCTGGAGATAAAAAATGTTCTTAAAGTGCTTAGGTTGGTTTTATCTATGCTCATTTTATCAGCGGTATACAAACGAGCCAGGCAATAACAGGCAAGCCTGCACCATGCGAAAGGGACTATGCTTAAAGCATGGGATTGGGAGTTGGGATTCAGATGTGGTTTTGTTCACACACACTTTAACTGGTACAAATGATTGTAGGCGTGAAGGGGCACTCATCTCCCTCACTGCTGAGGCTCACTCGCTTGCACGAGTGCACTCTCTCTCTCTCATACACTTACCCCCCCACAATTCTTTCATGAAGTGACTTTTTACAATCATAAAAGAGCTGATGCAGGGCAGAACACATTTAAATGAAGTGTATGCTTTGCTTTGTTGTAGCAATCATTGCTCATACCTGAATTGTACGGAAAATGTTATTGCAAACAGAACAGTGTGGGCAGAGATAGCATTAAATAAGCTCATATTCAATGCAAGAATATGGGCTTTCCCTTAAGGACTGGACTGTATCCAAGGGTAACAGGGCAGCCTGGCCCTTTAAGTAGGGCAGCCAGCCCTGGGGTAGAAGCCCAGCTGTCAGTGAAGTCAAAAGCTCAAGGAGAGAGAGAGAACTAGCTGGAACTGGGAAGGAGCAATTTGTGGCCAGAAGACAGACTGGAACTCAGTTAAGCCTGCTTTTAGGAAGGGTCCAGAGCTAGAGGCCCCAGTACCTGGAAAAAGGCTAATGGTTTTGCTTTACGCATTCATTTGTGGAATAGATTACTGTGTTTGTATTATGAGGACTGACTAGGGGGCTCCCAAGGCAAGCCAGCCTGTTTGGCAGCAGGCACACCAACCTGCTTACACCAAGTCTAGCATTACCCTGTGGATAGCTGTGTTAGGAGAAGGTGACTTGGAAATCTAGCACAAAGCAATGCCAGGTTAATAGCATACACTGGTTCTTGCACTTTGGCTCATGGGCCTTGGGTCTGCTGAGAATGTACATATTCTTCCTAAAGCCTCTTTCATCTTGGTACAGCTCTATAGTTGCAATGCTAGGGTGAACTAGGTGCTGTTGTTTTTAGCTACCCCATTAACTAGACTGGGTCTGGTTAGCCTGCACATGCTAGTTAGTCCAAGCACTTGCAGGTGTTGTTCCCTTGTGCTTGAATTCCATGGAGATCACTCATCCAAAGGTTACGCTTGCTGACAGGCTGTGGATTTTCTGTATTTAGAGATATGGGACACCCTGTCATTGTAACTAGCTGGAAAGAAACTTCCAGCAACTTGGTCAGGTCATAAAACACCAATAATTTGTTGAATCCTTTAAGGTTTTGCAAAGCAAAAGTGACCCCAACTCTGAGTATGCATCTGGGCAAACAGAAAATCAAGGCAATATTTTAAGACAGGTAACTGCCTGGAAATGGTTAAAATCTTTAGTTTCTCTCCCTTGCAGTGTCTAAAGGTTGCAATAATGGCCTTTGGAAAGAGACATTAAAGAACTGTTTTGACAGTAAGCATATGAATATGGACCCCAAGGGAACTTAAGTATGCTGTCAGCCCTGGCTGTTAGAGCCCTTTACAAACACTCTCATGAGAGATCATCATTACCCTTGTGCTACAATGCGAGGAAGCAAAAATTAACATCTCTTGTCCAAGGCTGCAGAAGGAATCTGCAGTGTAGAGGAGGAAAAGTTGTAAGGACTATTTCATAACAAAAATGCCATGCTACTGACTAGACTTGCTGTGCTATGCAAGACAGCAACTGGAGTCAAGATCTATTGAACATGTTCCAGTGATCAATTTAAGCACTGATCAATATTTTCCCCTTTCACCCTTTTGTGAAGGAAGAGTTCCCTGGTTCTGCCCAGCAGATTGCAACAAAAGCTCTTTTTAGTGCACTTAAAACTGAGAATCTAATTGCATATGGAGGAAAAGCATATTAGAAAGAATGCTGACCTTCACTCTTGGAGAAGTTTTTAAAGCTCACTTTACTGCATTGAATAGATGCAGGATGATGGTAGGAGTCTTATTTGGACAGATTGTGAAAAAGGAAGAACTCAGTGGTACTAAAGACTTGAATAGTCTTTAAACCCATGCCCAGTTGGTTAGGACTTTTCTTCACTGCCCCTCTTGTTCGATGTACCACAGGCCTTCTTACACACAAAAGGTTTTGCTGCGGAGTTCAAGAAGAGAACGTAGCAGCAACTTATTGCTAACTGCATTGAAACAGGGATAGTAGATCCCCCTCCACATCCAATGAAGGCTAAGAGAACAAGATATTTTCTCCTAGTTCAAAAGGCTCATTTATAATTATTGCTCTTCAGTTGTTAGGCCCCATACTTTTTCTGCTTTGCCACCCATGAATTCCAACTGAAGTCACTTCAAGGGACCTGCTTTCCTAGGATTAATTTCTACTCCACATAGATAAAAAAGGACATGCCAGCTACACAGCAAGACCTACAGAAAATGCACCGAACACTTCACGCTCTGTATCTCTGACCAGTGTCATGACTGAGAATCATGCACAAACAGCCAGCCAGCTCTTATTTCCACTAATCTGGGTGCAGAAAACCATTACCATCTACAGGCTTGTTACATCAAGGAATTCTAATCTCATGATGAAGTATCATGACGGATATCATATACTACTGCTAGATTACAGTCATTCAATTGGTAACCTAAATTACTCCCTAACACTAAAGACAAAACATGTGACCACCCAAGTGCATGCTGGATCTCTTTGTATACAGCCTACTTTTTCCTACTCACTTTAGATGTTCCACTGGAGACCTGCCACTAGAGCCTATAAATATGATTGGCAAACCTCTCTGCTCAAGTCGGTATGGCTCCTGTTTTGAGTCAAAATCTTTAATGCACCTGGAAGAATGGGGAATTGAGGCCCTACAATTTAACTCATTGAAATCACAGGGAGTTGGATGCCTTAAACTTTGCAGATTTGGGTCCAAGTGATTTGCCAAAAGTTCCACAAGACTGGAGAAGAGTGGGAAAGCTAATCCAAGTTTTCAGCATCCCAAGCTAGCATCCTAACTATTGGATCATCCAAAATCCTCACCACTCTGAGAACTACTCACTAGGCTACCATAAATGATCTTCACCTGTACCGGGTGTCACATCTCCAGAGATGCCACACTCCATTTGTCTGTGTGTCCTCTCTAATTTTCTCTTGAGGGTGGTTGAGAAGGCATAGAACTACATTACAGCATTACTCAGCACATGCAGAGTAGATCGGTACCACCTGAGCGATTGGGGTTTGTTGTTTTTTCTTGGTTTAAGAATTAACGCAGGCAGAAAGAGATGCTGCGCCATGTTAATACAACTAGCAAAATTCTGAAGTTGCCATTTAAAACATACGGGGACAAATTTCCTCATGACTGCTTTTGCAGAAGTTTAGTCGGTTCTAGTGACTAAGAAGTCTGATAAAAAGCACTGACAAATTGCCTTCCCACGTTGAGAGGTGAAAGACAGCCATTACAGAAGGTTTGTATTTTCATCAGTTAACTATAAGAGGGGGAGAGAAGACAACGGTTTTGTTTTCATAGCACTAAAAGTGCTTTATTAACGGGGAAAATTGCAATCAAGGGATCTGGTCTTTCATTCAGGAGGGACTTACAAACTGAATGAGTGACATTCCCTGGACAAAAAAGGGCTCCAGTTTTAAGGGCTGCAGCAACTAACAAGCATGGAAGAGCCCCAGACTCTTTAAAGGTTCCTTCTACGGTGGAGCAAAAATAATAGTCAAGGTAACAGTCTGAATCATTCCTCTAATCAGAGAATACAAAATGCAGACCTCTCACATGCTCAGCAATTACTCACACACAAGCATTTATGTAAAGACAGCTGTGTTTATGATGATGTAGTTATTACTCATTTAATTATATTAAGGTGGAATGAGCAACAGGACCCTTCAGTCAGCCAGTGGCAGCAAAATATGTGAACAGGAAACAGCGCATCTAAAATCTAGCAGTATGAATAACTCTGGTACTTCAAAGATACAGTTAAATCTGCCCTTATTTTGGGCAAGGGTTAGAAAAAAATATCACTCACTTGCTCTGAATCACTTTTCTGGAACTACACTGTTATGTTTCCAAATCAAGTGTTAAATTTTGTAGGAAAAGGAATAGGGGAGTTTACAAAAGGGATTTGGTTTGCCCATGTAAGTAATCTTTGATAGTCCAGCTTTTTGAATGAAGTAAGGCACTTCACCAGACAGATTACAAGTACTTACCAAAGTAAAGTTCTTGCACCTAGACTGGCTTCTGCGACTCTCCATGCTCCCACTTCTTTCCAAGTTCCCCAAGGTGCAATTTGGTGAGATTTCTGATGCCATTTCAGAAAAATCCGACATTAAGTTTCTAGGCATCCCACCCTAGAGACTGCTTGTTCCAGATATAGCCTTGTCACGCAGCACAGAACACTGTCAGGGCTTACTTAGGGCTGTGGCCAGTCACGTCTGAAAATGTATACAAAGGTATGTTAATTTAAACCTGTTTTTTAAACTACTGACAGGGCTGGAGAGGATAAATAAGGAAAAGTTCTTAAACAAGCTTATAACCAGATAAACCAGTGCAGGAGACCAACATGCATTTCCATCGACCAAATAAAACTCTATTGAAAGGATCACTTTAAAAATCTGACACAGCAGGACTCCATGTCTGTCTCTCATAGACTTCCAGATCAGACGCATTCCCATTTACAGTGGAAAATACCTGATAACTTAGTCTGAAGTCTGAATCTTAGGCAGGTTCTCTTTCAATTATGACACCATAAGATGCTGCAATCGAGACATGATGCCTCCCGTGATCCCTTTATCTGTTTGGGCAGGAGTGGGACTGCTCTGTTTGGAGCGATGCACAAGAATAACAGAATCTGATTCCACCTCTCAGCTCCGCAGGGCTAACTTATCGTTGCTCGAGTGAACAGACCCAGTTTTGACTATGCACAAGGAACAGATCCAAGCATTAACACAGTGCCAGTTTACAGCTGGATTTCAGAGTGCAACTGCATTTTTTAAAAAGTGCTTCAGCTCTACCTTTGTTTTATTTCCCATTATGCTGGAACAGCACTTATGGACATGCGCTCTGTGGAGAACCAATGCGTATATAGAACGGACATGTACAGAAGTGGTTACTGAGGCAGAAAACATACATACATATATCCTAGGTTTCAGTTCTGTAGCATCTGGCTGAACAGCACGACGCTTTGAAAGTGTCGCATTACAATGCTTCACATCTTTCCCTCATTCTCAAAACATTGGCAAGATGAAAAACAAGCCTCCTTTTGATATCCCTCATTAACCTGATCAGAGGTTGACAACCTTTTGCTGCCACAGGGCAGCAAAAGGTTGCATGGGTTGCAAATCCCTAGCCAGCAGCAGACGCTGTGGAGGAAATACAGAATGAGGCTGGTGGATGGACTCTTGTGACATCCTCCGCTGCCCCAGCTGCAGCATGGCGAAAATGGACTGGATCCAGTCCCTTCGTGGGCCCAATCCAGCCTGACTCTCCATCCTTGGAGGTTTCTAAGACCTGGCTAGACAAAGCCTTGGCTGGGATGATCTAGCTGAAGACAGTCTTGCTTTGAGCAGGGGGTAGGACTAGATGACCTCCTGAGGCCCCTTCCAGCCCTAATTTTCTATGATTCAGGCCATAAATCGCCAACTCCTGAACTATATGTTAGTTCACCACTCTACCTGCCTCCATCTCTAGTCATGTTTAAAATGCTGTTGTGGTTTTTTAGCGGGGCGTTTTTATTTTTTTTAAACTTTTCCCTGGCACCTTTTTTCCTATTAAACACTTCCCAGTCATAGACAAGAGGTGACGTTTCCACAATACCATTTGGCTATTGGTACCCACAAGTCCATCACCCTGTGTCTATCAGATGTCCAACAAGAAATGGATGCTCTTACTCTGTGGGTGCTGTTCAGACAGAACAAGACAGGCTCTGCCTTGAAGAACTTATAATCAAGATAGTTTGCTTCAACCCAATTCCTTGAGGGCGACGTGGAGAAAGTCATCCAGTTTGCATTTCCATTTCAATTGGGTTATTTTGCCTTCCTCCTCACTAGTGCCAGCTTTCATGCTTCCCCCCTTTTTTTTTTTGCCTTTTGGTAGCCAATTAGTATTCTGCAGCCAATAAGACTCAACTAACATCTCTATCTTCCTAATGATTTCCTCCCAAAAAGAGAGCAAAGATAGTATTAGAGGTATGTCTTGAGTGTTGCATTGGCTATGACATCTCTGCAACATTTGTATTGCAGGAAGACTCCCACGCAATGCAGCTAGGCTGCAATCCAGCAAGTCCCAAAAGCGTAGTCCAAACTAAACAGAGCAGCATATTTCTATTATAGCAAACACAACTAACACGAAAGAGCCCCTCTTGCAAACTACAAGTTTAAATGGTTAAGATGAATCTGGAGGCCTCTTTAAAACATCTCATTTTTCTATTGCAATGAGCATATCCCACTTGTTTCATTTCTCCTAAACAGATCAGATTCTTCCTCGAGATTGCAGTTTTATGCAGTGATATCCAAATAGGTGCCCACAGTTTGTTTCACATATGTATATTATAAAAACTTTAACTTTTGGTTATAAGACAGGCATGTGTTAAACACTGCTGGAGCCCACACTGGTCTGACAGATGTGTACATGTGCTCCTGTATGTACAGGAGGAAGCCAAGTTAAAATAAGCAGCCTGAATGAAGAATGCATGCTGCCCTACCATCTCTGAAGTGAGACTTGGATACATTACTGCCCTGTGCCCACAAAAGCAGCATTTGGTACAAGGTAATACTGGGCAAAAAGATCATGCCCCTGCTGAAGGCAATGGGAGATCTACTGCTGACCAGAGCAGCATCAAGATTTTATCCCATGCGTCAAATTGTGCCGTTCAGATGGAGGAGGAACAGGGGGAGATGAGAGTTTTTTCAGAGTCACAAATGAGGTCAGTGCTCATCTTCCACTGAAATGCAATGAAACTTTGTGCCTGCTTCCCAGCTGAGTCTCTGAATGACCTACCCCCATAATGTGTGTGTGTGAGAATCTGGAGTCAAAATTAATGCAATGGCATGTCCAATTTGTTCCTTCTCCTGATAGTGAATTTTGGTGAGGCCCAAGGTTAGGATCACCTCTACCATTCACAACCCTATCCTTTGTCACAAAAGGTCGTGGTTTATTGTTTAACTATGAATGAACCTGCATGGGCTGCATCAGTGGCATCTATACCAATATTTAAAAGCTTGGAAGTGTTTAAATAAATAACCTTATCAGGATTTGAACTAGGATTACCAAAAGAGACTCCCTGACCAAAGGCTTGACCTAAAACAAACTAGCACTTCAGTGGGGTATTCTTTGCACATAAAGATGAGAACATAGATCTAATGAGCAGTACTCATTGGAAGTGTGTGTTACTAGTACAACTAACTAGTACTTGTAGAGCAACAGAGCAACTTTATTTCCAGTAAACTTCCGTTGTTCATTCCAGATTTCAGGCTCAGAAGCTCTGCATAACTCCTCAATGATTAAACACAGTCACCAGAGATTTAAAAAAGGCTGCACTTCAGCTGCAACAATGGGCAGCAGGTATTAATATACCAATTATGGCCTTGTCCTCTAAGCCCTAGCCTTTCTACAGTTTTTGTTCCCATCAGGCTCAGAGACGCAGGGCACATCTACACAAGACGCTTAATGCCCATTGGACTAATTCTACTGCATATTAACGCGACTGGCAAAAACCATGATAATGCGCTACCACACAGCAGATTATTCCAGTGGGCATTAAACAATGCACAAAAAGTGTTCATCGGCGCTAATACGCACTAGTGCTGATTATGGCTCTTTAATGTAAACATGCCCACAGTGTATCAGTTAACAGGCTTAGCCTTCTGGCATAGGAAAGGCAGAAGTGTGCTTCTTTAATTTAGAAGAAAAAGTTTTAATAGCAGATTTGGGCTTGTAGGCTACATTTAACAGCATTATGCCCCAACTGCACAGGTAGTTTAATCAAAGCAGTTTCCTAATGAAGCAGAACACAGTTCAGACAAAGGTCTTTACCCAAGCTAGCAACTGATTAACAAATTAGGTGCTTCTACAACTGAGTCTTCAACCGGCTCCATGACTTTAACATGGAATAGAGGGCAATGGTCATGGTGAAGTCTTACTGTGAAGGAGATTTGATCTGGGTTTGATATACTGCTCTGCCACACACTATATGGGCAGGTCTACACAGCCTCTAACTGTACTAGGGAGGGTTGCAAGGGATGGTTTTATTAATTTAAATCAGAGGTAGCCAAGATGCTTCAAAAGGAGACCCCAGGGTATGCTTCAACAGAATTGCCGAGGTAACCAGTGAGGGGTCAAAATAGCGTAACAAGTCTCAGAGAGGTGGAACAGCAGGTTAAATAGGAAGGTGTTCTTCTTGACCTTCAGAGATGCATTAAAAATGAAAGTTACTCACAACAGGGTTTATTTCTTAGTCTACCCAACACACTAATTATGGACATATTACAGGCCTTTAAAGGCACTGCCTGTGCCACTAGAGTAACTGAATATGGTGCTAAAACAGACTGTTCCCATCAACCTTCATTGCAATATTTGGGCCAGTTCTTGGCAGAGAGCAGAAGTGTTTTCGTTCTTGCAAACGGTCCCTGCCCAATTATGCACGGTGCGGTACTTTTCACTTAAAGGTTGATTTAGAAGCTACAAGAGTCTTGCATTGAACTGCAATTAAGTACACTGATAGTAGAGAGAGAAAGTTGAGTGTTCTGTAATTAACAATGAATTTTAGTTCAAAAGTTCTATTTGAGCCTAAGATGTGGCTTGGAGGCACTATATCAAGTTTCTGTAAAGATTTAAGGAATGGTCTTTTATTGCAATAAGCCAAATTCTTACTTTGCCGTGCGAGTTTACTATGCTACTGAGCATCTAAAAGAGCCAGAATATTTGTCTCAAGTAGATAGACCTAAGTAATGTACCCGTCAGTAAACCACAAAAACAAATTGTGAGAGAGAGCTAGCTTAATAGCCAGAAGATTGATCACTCCAAAATGGAAAGTATCCAAAGGTTAAAAAAGTCATGCGCTACATGACTCAGTGAGCTAGCAGATGTAGAGAGCACCATTCCAGTTATGCGAACACAACAATATATTTAAGGAAATGATCACACTTCTTGGAAAGTTATCGTTTTTTTTAAAAAGCCACAATGTTGATGCACCATTCTGTTTTCTCCACTGTGCATGAAGGTTATTTTGAAGTACCTAAAGGTTATTTGGAAAGAAATCTCGTTTCACCTAACTGAATTTATCACAAAGTCAGGATGCTATTTGAACTTTCTACAGTGTCCTAAACGCAGATTCTTTGTCTGTTCTTTAAAAACCTGATCACAATATATAGTTAAAAAAATATACAATTGAAATATACCAGAAAAACCTTTGATAAATTTCCACCCTACCCTTCCCCAGAAATTGTAGTCCTTAAGTGTGTGCACACACTTCAGTTACATGGGAATACATAGGTAAAATTTCATGTATAAGCATGAAACACCATTAGGTTTAAGCAGCTGAAAACATGCTTGAAGGCCTGATAGCCCCCTTTAGTGAACAGAAGTCCTTCTATTAACTTTGCTGGCCTTGGAATCAGGGCCTTATTAAGCTAAAGGCTACTGGAACAAACATCCTCCTGAACAGCCTGCACAAGAGTACGGCTGAACAAGCTGGTTTGAGCAGCCAATGCAACAAACATAAGACTGGTTTGGCTATAAATTTTTGTAGGCCATTCCAAAGTATGTTTGCTTTAATGGTGTGGACAGGTCTTCTTATTAGGTTGGGGAACACAAACCAACTGCAGTAGCTTTCATCAACTCCTCCAGTATCTAATCTATGAATTAAACCCTGCAAATAAGCTGCTCTCTAGCAATAACATGAGCGGGGAAACAGAAGCAGAGACATTCTAGATAAAGGGAGAGAGAAAACAACATGTTTAACAGCACTGGATGCACAGGACCAACGGGCATGTCAACGCTACAGACATGTGCAAGGGTTGAACATGCATTGTTTAGACTTTAAAGAACAGGAGCCTAAAACTGGACAGCTCATAGCCAGTTTTAAAACGCTAACAAAGATGGGACAACTACAGATATTACCTCAATTAAGCTGCTTTGCTTCCTCTGCAGGAAAGAGAGATTAAGCTAGGAATTTGTTTAGACTGTGCTGGGATTAGCCACTATAGTTAAACTCCTCCTCCCCAATCCCAAATGTGAAGTTACCATAACAAAATTTAAGGAACAGGTATTATACTGCTTGACATCAAGCATAGAAAGGATCAAGTTGCATTAAAAACTGTTATTAACCATAACTAGGTGACACTTTCAAAGAACATGACTGTCCTCATTCAGACTGTGGAAAACATAGTGTTGACTGCCATACTAACTAAATGCACTGAGGAAAGGGTATAAGATATGTTTTCCTTAGCTGTACTTTGAAAGGTAGTTTAACCCAGATTTGGTCAACATAGAAGTGCTGCAGCCTGTGGGCTATGGTAACTGTTGCACCCTAAATACTGATGCCAGACAAGAGTACTTGTGTACTGGCTTTTACAAAAAATAAAGTTATAGCATGATCTAACCCACACAAGCCAGGTAAACAGTGTCATTTTGCCGCAGCAGCACGGAAACAGAGCTCAGGGCAGAGACCATGACTTTATATACACTTGGGCAGCACCTAATAGGATGGAACAGGTGAACACTATCACAATACTACTAACTCAAGCATTCAGATGGCATATGTCCCTCCAAATTTGTAAAACCTTAGTCTCAATATTAACTCTCTGGTTGCTGAGCTTTGAAGATGCTTCGGGGTCACATTTTCAAGGCTTTCTCCACAATCATGAAGGTAAGAGTCTTTTTAAATGAAAGCAGAGATTCTTACAGACACAGGAATCTGGAAATTGGGGCTTTCAGAAATGCACTGTATATATTGTGAGACCAGTAATAAGAGTCACAAGAGCTGCCAACACTGAAATGAACCCGGCACACTTAAGGTTTTAAGCAACCAAATGAATCGAGTGCTGTTTCATCACAGCATTTAAGTACCTGCTTGAGTCCCACAGACGTTGCTGCGACTTAAGCCCATGCTTAGAATTATGGCCAAATTTGAGCTTAAAATTTAGGAGAGGTGGCCTAATGAATAAGGAAATGTTGGCTCACAATTGCTTCCAGTAGACCCTCCAGACAACAGGAAACCTCAATTCACACAACAAACACTCGAGTATCATTTTGTATAACACTGATGGTTAAGGTTACAGGTTTGAGCGAGCTACTCTAAGACTCAATATACTTAAAATAGATCTATTCCCCATTTCTTAACTGGTCTTTCTGGATTTTCAAGAGCAACTTTTATTTTTTTCTTTGTAGGAATACACTTCTGCAAGTATTTACCAAACAAGAGGAGACTGTTAAGCTGTGGAGGTAAGATAATCATTGGTGCTCCAATGAGAAATTTTTACTATATTCCATGTTGGAAAGCAGGGGGCAGTAACATTTTGGCCAGAGTGCCAAAAACACCCCAACCCTGACCCATTCCTTGACTTGGCATGCCAGGGGCAGACCATGGGAGAAGCCACAAGGGGCCCAATCCTTATTGCTAGCGGCTGCACGCACACCTCTGGCAAGACAAGAGGGAAGGGGCCTGGGGCAGCACAGCCCCAGCCCCGCCCCACTATCCATTCAGAGGCATGTCTGCAGCCACCACTGCCACTGTGAAACCCAGCCAAGGGCTCCAGAGCCTGGTACAGCTGTTTGCAGCCTCTGGGCTGCCTGCCATAGCCAGCTGCAAACAGCTGCATTGGACTCCAGAGCGCACCGGCTCAACGGTGGTGGTGGCTACACACGTGCCTCCAGGAAGACAGAGGGGGTGAGGCTGGGGTCACGCTGCTCCAGACCCTCCCCTGCCATCTGCCCAGAGGTGCACATGAAGCTGCTGCCACCACAGAGCCCAGCTGGTGCTCCACAGCCTGGTGCAGCTGCTTGCAGCCTCCTGGGTGCAACCAGCCCAGGCTTTTGGGAGCTGCTGCCAGCCACAGAGCCCAGGCTGCCTTCAGCTGGGCTTGCAGCCTCCCAGGTGCCTGCCTGGGCTCTGTGGCTGGAAGCAGCTGCCCAGGCCTCGGACTAGCTGTGGAGTGCAGAGCAAAACAGTCTCATATGCCAGGCTCTGGCACACACGCCAGCAGTTTCCAACCTTTGTTATTAAGGTGCCGCATGATTCCAGCCCATCAGTATGGTTTTGGAAATGCTGCCTTAAGACGGTCATATAGAAAAGTCCTTCAGACCTCGCATTAGAGTCATGTTTACAGTCTCGAACCTGATTTTTAGCACGTTGCTTTTCAAGCTTGAACCCAGGTTCACAAAAGACTGCATCTGAACAACACAGAGGAAAAAGTTGTTTCAAGTCTTTGCCTTTTGGCTTGTGAATACCTGCAGCTGTAACTTGGACTCGGTAACAGTTCTATCCAGGTTGCGCCACATAAAAAGCAGTTTTATCAACTCAAAGGCAAATAAAAGCAATTACGAAAGACTGGCATGCCCTAGACTGGGTTAAACCACCAGAGAAAGGTCTCTTAACTTGATCTGTTAGCAGAAACAGAATCACTCCTGCCGCACCTAAAACTGAAACTCAGCCAATGACAAGCAGTTTTCTTTAGATTAACTTCTTACCGGAGGATAAAAGTGGAGGCTTTCACCAAGAGGCTACAGCAGAGATTTGATTGCCTGCGCCTGTTTCAGGGAAGAACAAGATACAAACATTAAAGTCTAGACCCCTTTTATGGAGGGTGTTCGCCATGTCCTAGATTAGAAGTCTCCCTAGATTTTGACATGTCTGTGCAAACTGCCCCAAAAGGGCTTTAAAAGTTACTTAAGTTTAATTTACCAAATGAAGAAATCCAAGGTTGTCAACTGCAATAGTTGATATGTTGGAAAGGCATAGATAGAGAAACAATTTAAAAGTACAGACTCTTCTGTAATTAGCCAACTTCTGTCTCGTTACAGGTGTAACATCACAAGGGTTTAGGGTTTCATTATATAACTGATGCTAGAGCTGTACAGAGCGGCCGTGAACCAAGTACAGCTTCACATTGTATTTGGGAAGGCACGGGAATATTCATCCATACCTTCCATGCAGCCCAGCCTTGTGCTGCTGCATCACAGGCTAGCAACAGGATTTGCAAGTCACCAGGGGCTATCGGCCTGCCTGGTCATGCTGCGAGACTACTGGAGAAGATGCATGCACAAAGTGGTCAGGGGACGATTATCCCCAAAGAGAGACAGTAGGAGAGGTAGATGTACACAGTAGGTCAGCATATGAAGGGTCATCTGCAAAGGGCAAGAAGCTGACAAAAATCCTCCCTGTTGACCTGCACGGACAAAAGCTTATCCCTCATTACAAGTATAAGGCTAAGCAGAACAGCCGGCTGGAGATGAGGCTACTGAAACCATCAGTCACATTATCAACATCAGTATGTAACAAGGGACTGCTTTTACAGACGGTCTTGTTTTGACAGGCATTTGGATACCGGACTCTTTGGTAGCAAGCAACACCGCAGTCGCTTTTTCAGGCATCTTCCTACAGATATCTGCATATTCTGGTCATTAGAGGACGTGGGCACAGCGAACGCTAGTCAATTTTTAAAGAGTTAAGTTGCCTGGGATGCTACACCCATCTAGCAATCCCCTGCCAACATTCCTGGGTAATATTTCTCTTTCTGAGGCAGGCATACAAACAAGAGAAAGAAACTGTGCAACTGAAGAAAATTCAAAGAGTAAGAGAGACAGCGAAAGAACAAAAATCCTCGATCGTCTCGTCTCATCTAGCGTGTTTACTAGTTACCCTCGTCCATAAAGAAGCTCAAACGCTATTTGGGACTGTCGTCCCTTTAATCTTAGTGACAAAAAACATAGATTAAACAGAAAATCTGTTGTCCCTTTAATCTTAGTGGGGAAGTATATACATTAAAGGGACAACAGATTTTCTGTTTAATCTTAGTGGGGAAGTATATACATTAAACACAACATTTATCCACTTTAAAAAGTCTCTTCTATTGCTGAGCAACCATCAGCATCTCACACTAGTTTCACATGCATCTGCCTGTTTAATAAAGTGCTCGTTTTCATTCACGTTCAACGACAAGCTTAGTCCTGTTTTGAAACTGCCATAACACCAAGGAAAGACACTAATTACCGGTAACCTACGCCAAGACTGTTGCTTCCACACCAGCGCATTAAGATCGTGCACTAAAAATCACCGTCTCACAACAATAATACTTTGCATTAGCTAAAGCCAGAAAAAAACCCCACTCGATCTTTTAAAACCCGGACTCCCACTGCCGCACCCCACCCCTCAAACAGCAGCGTTTCCTCCGGGCTCTCGTACCGCACCCCGACTCGAGCTCCTCGGTCCATCCCCCGACGGGGACTTCACCCCGACGCCGGCACGGCTTGGGACCAAAACCGCACAGCTATTATTACTTAGCCACCCCTCCAAAAAAAATAAAAGTCCAGTCAGCGCTTCCCTTCCCCATCTGCCCGGAGCAGCGATTCTTGGTCACGGCTAAAAACACCCGTGGGAGATCTTTACGACACGAAAAAATGCGATAAAGGACAAATCAGGAGAGACGCTCGGAGCTGAGACTTTCTGAGGGCCCGGGGGGGGTGTAACAGTTAAGCTGGGGACCCGCTGGGCTCCTCCCTCTGGCTTCTCAAGGGTGACCCTCAGCCCGGCCCCGCACTCACCACTCACCGACGCGCCTGTGTGGAGCTCAAGCAGGTGCAGCGCGTAACATCTCCCACTCCCGCCCGCCGCTAATTCAGGCAGGCTGGGCGCATGCGCGGCCCGGCGGCCACGCCCCATCCCGCGCCTGGCCACGCCTACGCCGCGCTCGACGTCCTGGCTCCCCAGCCCCTGAGCCCCAGCCGCGGCCTCCTCCCTGTGGTGGGGGCGGGCTCCAAGGCAGCACCTTTCCCTCCTCACCCGGCTGCCTCTTCCTGTAGCCCGGGGTGGAAAACCCCTCAGAGCTGGGCTCGTCTGAGGGGGGCCTGGAGGAGGAATGAAAACGAGACACACCAGGTGTGGATGACGCGAGGAGCGGCCGGGCACGTGCCAGAGGTCGGATCCACGAGAAATTGTAGGGTGCGTGTCTCCCCCCCCCTAGTTTAACCCTCTGAGGACGGAGATTTCGTGGCCATTTGGGGTCGCCGGTTGCGGGGCTTGATGGCCCTTCTCGGGCAGCTGTTCATGTGGTTGGGGGAGGGGTTCCTGGAGCGCTGCTCTAAGTAAAACCTGTGGTGACATGTGTATTAAGTCTCCCCGCAGTTCAAAATGGACGTGGGGTGTTTTAACTAGAGCTCTGGGTCGCTTGTTGCAGGGATTTGTGGCCCTCTTAGGGTGCCTGTGCACGTGCTTAGGGGTGGGGCGGAGGGGCATGTTAATTAGAGGGGTTCCCGGAGAGCCACTTAAATTAAAACCCACAGCGTCATGTGTATTAAGCCCCCACACGATTCAAAATGGATGTGGGGTGCTTTCATTAAAGCTTATTCGCCAAGCACCCCAGCAGCTATGTTGAAACCCACAAGGGTTTATACACAGGACGCTGCAGCAATGCCAGAACCTTCTAGTTCTGGCATCCATTCAATTGATTTGAACAGATTCAGTTAATTGAGTGTGGCCCAACAGGTTCTAATTAGAACGCATCGGAGCACGTGTGTAGGCAACCCCTAGTGAGAGAGCTTTTCCTAATGTCTAACCTAAACGTCCCTTGCTGCAACTTGAGCCCGTTGCTCCTTGTTCTGTCATCTGCTGCCACTGAGAACAGTCCAGCTCCTCCTCCTTTCGAACTTCCCTTCAGGCAGTCGAAGACTGTTACTCATCTTGCTGTCCCACCAAGTAAGGCAAGCCTCGGTTCTGCCACGCTGCTAGCTGGGAGCTGCTTCTGTTTCCCAGCCTGGCAGATTTTAACTCATTCCGATGAAGCCCTAGTGTTTTTGCTTCCCTCTTCAACTGAATGATTCAGCCTTAGGCCCTGATCGTATGAGTAAAGTTTCTAGTTTCTTTTTAACTGGAGAAAAATCTGGGTTGTTTCAGAAGGGATGATGCATCGTACCATCTTCACGCCACTTTTTCAAAACTCTCCATCCTACCTTCTGGGATGTGAGGGAAGAGGAAGACCAAATACTGAGAGACTTGTGATATAAACCACAAGCAGTGGCAACACTGTCATTAGCTACCTTAGATCCCCTGTCCATGGATGTCTGATTTCAAAAAGCAGGGGGTGGGGAGCGCAGATAGTGTGGCACATCATCCCATATATCACAACACCCATGTTTCTCCAGTTACAGAGAACCTAGAAGCTGTACTAATTTGCAGGGATCCTGGTTTCCTCTGACTTAAAAATACCCCCAATTTTCAGTTTAAAAAAAAAAAAAAAAAAAAGTAACCCCAAATCCACACTTTCCCATGATTTAAATGAAACCACTAATATTATATATGTTAGTGATGTTTCATTTAAGTAATGGAAAAATGTGGATTTGGGGTTACTTTTATAACCAAAAATTGGGGATTTTTTTTTTAATCAGAGAAAACCAGGATCCCTGCTAATCTGCTAGGGGGCCAGTGCCACGTTATTTGGTTTAAGATTAAGGCACAAGCAACTATAATTATTGCAATGGGTGTTAATTTGCACATCTGTTCTATATTAAGATTACATAGAGAAACAGAACAAGCTAGGCAAACAGTAGTCCAAAGATGCTGTCTCATTAGTCCTGCATGTGTCATCAATTAAGTGTACATCTCATATTGAGATTCATTAAACAAAGTCTAGCCTGCTTGAATGTTCTGGCAGTGCATCCAATGCTTTGCTGCCAGTCATTTCTACACCTGAGTTAATATTACCACACCTGAGGTATGGTTTTAGCTACAGCTAAAAACAGTCTGCAGGGCTGTGAAAAAGAAGAGAGGCATGTACCAGGAATGGCTAAAACAGTAGAATTGCAGAAGAAAGGATCATTTGACTAGTGGAGTGCCAAGACCAGTAGAAAGGAGAGATAGTAGCAGGAATAAGGGAGATGATGGTGAGCCATGAATCAATTGGCATTCTCAGCACTGTCTAAACAGAAATGCTGCTGTCCCTCCCAGGCAATTGGTTTCAAAGTTTGGGTGGACCAGCGATCAAAGCAGGGTGCAACTGCACCCCCTTGGATCCCTCTGGACATGGGAACCCAGAGATGGAGTCACTAGGTGACTTGCTCCATCATATCTTCACATTGTCATGGGGAAGCTTCAGTTGCTTCTAGCAGTGCTGGGTGCATTGCTGTAATAGGGCTCCAGCAGCCTCTCGTAGTTCACCCAGAGGATCATAGGAAAGTAGGCATGAGCTCTTCAAGTTCAGTCCCCTGCTCAAGGCAGGATCATCCCTGACTAAAAAATCCCAAACTAAATCATGTCACCTACTCTGGGGAAGAGACGGCATAGTGGTTAAAAGCTAGCCTGTGGACAACACTGCCAACTCCAAGTGTTTCAAAAACACAAACCAAAAACACACATTTGACTGGCTTGGAAGTTGTAGGGGTTGTTGGTGTTGTTGTTTTTTCTACAGGATTTAGGGTTCTTTTTTGGTTGCCTTCTGGACTTTGAGGTTTTCAGCTGCATTTTTTTCAAGCTTTTCTTTGCAATCCAAATTATTTTTCAAAAAAAGACAAAATTGTCACGTAATTGCCTGCCTACAGGATCTGAGGGAAGAGGCAGACTGAATATTGAGTGGTTTGTGATAAACCACAAGCAGTGG